GCTCAAGTATCGTCCGCCTCCAGTAGAGACTCGACTCTGCCGATTGCCGAAGCCCGGGATAACTATCGGTCTATACAAATCTGTTTCTGACTTCTGTATTATCCATTAGGCATTTTCGCCATTGCACATGGATTCTGTATGAGAGCATGACGACCTTAGGTCAATTTCAATATGTGTCATGTCATTTGCGGATGAGTAGGTAGGTAGGTATACCTATTTGGCTGTGCTGAGTGCTGACCCCTGACGTACGTACAGCCCACCGCTAAAGTAATGTAGGGTTTTACCAATCTCAACGGTTGGCTTTGACTGGCGATTGTTTAACCCTCGCACGACCAGGCCATTTCTCATAACACGAACGACCGGGGGGGGGGTTGTTACGACCCCCCTGGCGTTTCGAAACGGAAGGTCGTAGAGCTTAGCGGAAAAAAACCACGGATTGCTCTCAACGAGATCTCGCGATTGGTGGTATATTTTTGGTCCTAGGTCAACATTTGACCTACTTATGACCGGTCAAAGGTCAAATTTTCCGAAAAAATCAAACTTTTTCAACTTTCCGCGGCGATTGCAGCAAAACGGTGGGAGATATCGACTTGAAACCTTCACTATCGTATTCCTTGATCAATTCTCTATCGTTTGGTATGTATTTCGTTTCCCTAGCTCTAGAAATGGCGCGTTGGGAGCGCCGGAAGTCGGCAAGGTCACAGTCGGCGGCAGAAATTCGAAAAATCAAAATTTAAATTTTTGAAATCTGATTGTATTTTTGGATTTGGGAGGTCCATTTGCTCCCTATAGAAGCTAATATTGCTGCATATTCCCATTGAGGTGACAAGAATTAGCAAAATAGTGGTTCGGGCGCTTTTCAAAAATAGTACCGGACGCTGTTCCTCTTGTGACGTCATAGCTCCGTGACCTGATCTGACCCGGTCAATTTTCTTGCACCACACGATAGCCAATGCTTGCCCCAAACATGGGAAGTTTCATCATGATCCATCAAACAATGTGGGTATCACCGGCAGAAAACCTAGGGATTCGGCGCACACGTTTGGTAACTGTCGGCCGGAGGCTGTACCTCTTATGACGTCATAACTCCGTGACCTGACATGACCCGATCATTTTTTTTTCGGCAAAAGATGCGCAAAGGTTGACCCAGAGGGTATTGAAAATTTCAGCCCGCTACGACAAGCCGTTTAGCGTGCACTTCGAAAAAACCTCAGGGGGGGGGTTGATACAACCCCCCCCCCTAGGCGTTCTAGGGTTAATGCAGAGTGATCGAAAAGAAGATTCAATAGATAAAGTTGCAGCTGCAAGGGTGACGATACATATAAGCTACATTCAAAGTTTCATTGTAGTCTGGCTAATCGTTCCTAAGCTTCAGAAGAAGAACATACCCATGACTGAAACCACACATTACTTCTGCTGTGGACTGTACCTATCAACGAACTTGGAATACCGAACAGAGGAGCCGGAGCAGTCTGATATTTCGTGCCTTACGATCAATTTATGTTAACAATACATCATTAAACATTAACCCCTCATTTGACCTATTGTTCCAACTTCAACCCCTCATACTCGTATCGCATGTGAGAAATGAGCGAAGAATATGTCTTCTGTCATATAGGAACCTTGGCCTCCTGCTCATTACAGTAAGGCGAGCTGGTTTCTTTACCATATGGAAAAAAGGCATAGGAATAGAAAGAGTAATAAATAAGCAAAACTCATATATTTATGGTACAAGTTATTTGCTCACAATGTCTACTTGCAGGTTCATTCCACCAAAACACATCCCTATGTATATCTGGCTGCAATTTTCATGGTCTCGATACTGTTTTCAGCGGACCACTGCTGGCCATGTTGAAGCAGGTCTGATATTCCCCTCCCTTCAACTGGCCGTCTCCGGCGCTGTGCCGCCGCCGAGCAAGGTTCGTCTCACTGGCCTGATTGCCTGCGGCGCCCGGCGACCCCTGAGACGTTCCTGGCGCAGCCGCGGCCTGATTAAGCCGCGGCCGGGTGCGCCGCAATCTGCCGCAGACGCGCTGCATATGCCGCTAACCGTGTTAGCGTGGCAGCCGGGCCGCCGGCGGTGGGCGGCAGGTGATACATGCTCCCACCGGGAGCGGCCGCGAGCTCGACTCGGGACGTGGGCTGAGACGGCTGCAGCCCTGCAGGAGAGTGCTGCAGCCCGGCAGCCAGCTGCAGCCAGCTGCAGAAGCCCAGCGGCTCAACACCGCAGCTCGGCGGTCGACCGTTGGCTATCACAGCAGCCATGTGTGGGCAGTAATCGCCACGCCATGTGTGGATCGCCCATGATCGTAAATACATAGGTACATACATACAATCCATTGCAATGATGATAGTGAACGTTTTTCTCTTATATTTCTTATTGCATTTTAATATGAAAACTCTAGTATTTTACTAGCGAGTATTTTATTTGTGATACACGATTGAAAAATGTCCTAAATAAAATCTAGTGAATTTTACTTGTGTTGGAAGGAAATAAAGAAGTTGACACGCTACTCTCAAAGGTGGCGTAAATTTCATGCATATTGATGAAACTATATACACCATCCAGTAGGTATTTGTTAGTTGTTTGAGGTAACCTCAGATGATAACTTTAAACATCGTTCCTTTCTTCTTAGGAACCAAGCAACAAAATCTGCATCACCTAATTTCCAACATTGAACTGTCAATCTGACATACCTTTTTCAGCTTATTGCCAACTTTCAATTGCTGCTCGACGAGTGAATAAACGATAACTCAAGTTCTAAGCCCCTGATGTCGATATTGTTACCTACTCGTTAACTTTTGCCACAGTTATACACTACACACAACTGTAAACAAAACTTGGAAATAACAGCTTGCTCTCCGACTACATATAACTTCGGGTCACTAATTCATTTTTTAACGTGGACAGCTAATTACTCATATCACTGAACCCATCCATTTTTCAAGTTCAGTGCATCGACCTCATACTAAACGCAGCCCCAGCGAACCCCTCGCCGTGCTTTGTTTCCATGAAAGGGAGCCGGGCGGGTTTTATTATCACCGCCGATACGAGGGTGACATGGCGTCGGTTGGTGGTGACAGGAGGGCTCCCACAGCGGCCTGCGACACCCTCCATCCCTTCCTGTAGGGATTGTTTGCTGTTCGTGCCCCCTTTTCCTCCGCTTTATGCCGCGCTCTGCTCGGCAGTCGGTCACTCAGTGCGATAATGTCGAATGTCCGTATAACATACAAAAGATAACATGAATAGGGATCAGATAAAAGAGGGAGATAGTTTTAGTCGATGGTGCAGTAATGCGCTGCCATGTGACGGCACTATTGACATGTGCCTGCAGTCGACAAGTCATTGGCAAGGCAACAAGTCCAAGGCATCTTGCTGTTCTGTTATTTTCTTATTTATTGTCTTCGTAATGATTGGGATTGCTGATCAGCTGGGCTGGGCTGCAGCATTCGTTCATTTCACTCTCCTCACCATCCTCCTCACTCATCATCACCATCACATCATCATCTCATCATCATCACCTGCCTGCACAGTGCACCCTCTCTCCGTAGTCCGTACTATCTGTGTTAGTGCTCACCATCAATGTCCATCGTCCTTTTCCCGCTCGTGTCTGTCAGCCGCCGTCGGTACACCGTTACACCACCCATCCCGACTGCCTGCTCTGCTAGCGGCAATAGAAACGCTGAGCGCCCATCGGCCGCGCGGCGTGCCCTCATCGGACGCATTTGCACATAATCCAATCGGGAGCGAGCCGCTCGATCCGAACATGATTGGCGACCGTGACTAGCGTGTCTGGGTCGCCGTCCCGCCGCCGTCCCGCCGCTGTCCCACCGCTCCGGCACCGCTCTCAATGCCCGCCCGTCCGCTCCCAAAGGAACTGCGGGAGCTCCCGCCCGTCCAACACAAAGCGCAATGGATTTAAATACACGGCCGGTATCGGCTGTGCGCCAATCATTTCGGCCATTAGGGCTACAATGGGCCAGGACGGGGGATCATATGACGGCGGCCTCGCGGCGAGGGGAGAGAGAGACAGTGGCGGCGCGCTGCGGCGAGCGGCGGCGCGGCGGCGACAGACGTGGCGCCACCTCCGAGCCGAAAGGACCAGCTGCAGAGGACCGGGGCGAGTGAGAGTGAGAGGAGAGCGCCGGTTAAAGGGAGAAGGTGAGAGTGAGGGAGGAGACCACCAGTGTCAACATTGGAGACGGCGCAACAAATCTGTCAATCGAGTGATCCGCTGCGGACTGAAGAACACCATCATTTGTCGAAAAAGGAGCATATCTCATCAAAAACACAACTTCAGCACATATAAAGGTGAGTACATACCATAGTCGAACGTTGCGGCCCCCTCATAAGTTTTATGTTTACATTTTATCGTGAATTGGAGGAAGACCTTTCGGGTTTCAAAATAGGATTTGTTTCCGCCGTGTATATTTAGCGTGAGCGGAACTATACCGTCTCAATATAGCCGACCAGACAGGTTCCGAGGACGGTTCAGTCCCCCGAAGAAGGGGCTCAGGGACTCTAACAGGATGTCATTAGCTTTCAGTAGGCCGGCATCGGTGATGCTTTTCAGTTCTGCTCCTTATCTATTTAGGAAGCGATTCTTTCTTACGCAGATATTTTATGTGATCGTTCGGGGCTGGTTTGTTCGGTTCGCTTGGATTTCTTGAACATCCTTGTCTTTCCGATTTATTACTGTCGGGGAAGTGTTGAGTAGCTTCAATACTTCTGAACCTAATCGAATACCTTTTATCACTACACTTGACTGTCCTGCAGCCCCTAAGGTCTACAGCTGTCATCAGTGTGCCAAATGCCTTATATACCCACCTTTGTCAGCGGAAATTAGTTCACGGCATGTTGGGTCCTTTGGCAAACGGTATGTGATATCACAATTGTATCGCTCATCTTTCTCAAACGAGACTGATTCTGATTCTGCGGATCCCACACGGATCCATTTCAGGGATCCTCTCCCGACACCGCTGCTGGCTGATCTCGGATCGTCGGCAGTGCGTCGGTATCGTCGGCAGTGCGTCGGTGTCGTCGCGTCGGCGCCGCCCCGCGAGCCCGTCCCTCCGCGGTGGGCGGTCCGACAGCAGTTCGCGCAGTGGCCGCAGCGCGGCGCTACCGTCGCAGCCGGCCGGTATCTGCCCTGAGTTGTCCTCCGGCTGGGGAAGGGCGCTGGTCCAGGCCGCTTTATCTGGTCACAGCCGGGATGGCTGCCCAGCGCCTGGAGTCGGAGGGTAGCCTGCTGGCCACGGAGGCTCCCAACGTGCTGTGCACGCGGCTGCCGGGCCACTGGCGCTCCAACAAGACGCTACCGACGTGTTTCCGCGTGGTGTCACTAGATGGCATTAGTGACGGCACGGAGGTCATCCTGCGGGCTGGCAATGAGGACAATCCGTGTGCCGAGGTCCGTAACAACCGGGCCGTCATGAAGGGTCAGGTGGCCAAGTTCTCCGACCTGAGGTTCGTCGGCAGAAGCGGTAGAGGTGAGTGGAAATATTAAGTGCGGGACTTTCAGCTAATCGTAGTGTCACATCCTCAGCCCAATTCATTAGTGATGGCGAGCGAGATAGTCACACGGTTAATGAGATTTCGACAAATCAAATATCGACATCGACGAACAATTTCGACAAATCAAAATGGTTCCTCTATTTTTATAAAACAACTCGTTATGATGCAAGCAGGGTCAAAAGGATTTACCCTATGAAGTATAAGTAAAACTTAACGCCACGAACAGCGGCGCAATGCGTTGCAGTGCAGATATCACTTCTTACCGCAGTGGCTGTGTTGTGCCTTGTTATGAAGAAGTACCTACCTTTAATTTGGAATGAAATGTTTTGAATTAGATGCGCAATGAATACTCCAGTTCTATTAATGACGTTCGAGTAAATTATTCATGCATTTATACGACAACAAGATGCTTAAACATTTCACCTTAGGCAGAGGTCTGATGGTTATTAATTCAAAGCAACCCCTAATAATGGCCGAATGTCCTGCAGCTTTTAAACGCTGTCCCTTGCCCCTTATGTCGGCCATAATGACAAATAAATACACTCATCAGAAACATCCACATACTAGCTACATACTCGGCATATGGTTTACAACGATAGCAGCATCACCATGTCGTGCTTGACCAATTAAATGAGTCATTAGGATCAGTTAGGCCGCTGCAATGCACTAATCATCTTCTACAGTTTCTATTGCAAGGTGACTTGGTGACTACATGGTTATGAATTACGGCGTGCATGTTGATACTTTGTGGCGCTTAATATGCAGTGATAACTGCCATTGGGTCTCGTTGAAGGAGCGTCCAATGTCCCACGTAATGCATTGGTTGAAAGCGATGCAGTTTGACTGGGGTGGCGTATTATTATACTCATATCTCAGTAGTGATGTAGTCCACTTAGGCATGAATATTGGCCCCATTGTATTTTTCTACAAAGCAATTACTCATAATTTTGAAGCAGGACATGTCAGGTATCTTTTACCGTATTGTTATTGTTATGTAACACTGATTGACTTTCACATGATGATAGTGCTTTAGATCCAGTAAAAAAAGAAACTTGATGATACATTTTTAGTTCAAGAGTCAATGAGCTTTCTTATAAATGGCCGCCAAAAATTATCTCCCTTATAATCTTGCTTATATTTGTTTATGTTTTGTATATGAAGGTGCTTACATTTGCTGATGTTTTTGCCCCTGTCACGGTGCCCGCGCCCGCGCCGTGGCAGGGCGAATGAATGAATGTATGGAAACGAGTGGCGGTGACATAATGATACACTCTCCACACTCACTTAAAAAAAAAATAGTCTAAGGCCATTCAAGGTAAGATCGCCAGGTCACGTCAAGTGAACCAAACAGAAAAGCTCGCTATAGTTTAACCAACTCAACGGTTTTTTTTTTAAACTTCCAGTGCCTATTTGATGAGGATCAGCAAATACATCAAACGAAGAGATAGGATTTGTATACCACTGAAATAAGTCCGACTTATTTTTCCGCACTCTCAATCACAAGTCAAGTTATCTAGAATGCATTTAATTACTTACTAGCTTAATAGCATCTCATATTTTACATTTAGCCTTGACCCGGTTCAGGATGATTCCATCTCATATGCTCTAAGAAAGTTCTTCCTTGACCATTTGTCAGTAAGCATGGAGTTTGGCAGCAAAAATGTAAATTTGTAATGTTGCATGTAAATATGTAAATATGCATGTATTCAACTGCTCTTTTAACCCTTGCCGACAGAGGGGGGGGGGGGCTCAGGTCTGTCAGGTCTGTCCGTCTCACCATTACATATAAGTCAATGAGAAATCACGGAAACTGCTAACTATTTTGGCGCCGGGAATGATTTAAAACTACCTCAAACATATGAAATCATGATTACATGCGCTCTTTGCAAAGTCCCATGTTTCACTTTTGCATCTTTGACCTTGCATGACGTCATAACTGACGCCATGCAAAGACACCATGACGTCATGTGACGTCATCTATTACGTAACAAAGGTCATACGTGTTTTGTGTCAATAACTCCTGATCAAATTGTTCTAGCAAATCAGAAAAGTCATCATGGTCTCGAGAAGACTCGCCAAATCAAATGGTATGCTATAATATGATCCCCTTCAAGGCCAACTTTGTGACCTGAATGGCACTGACCCAGCCTTCACCTAGGGTCAACACCTTAACTTGACCTCATCCGAACAAAAGGCATTCAAGCATGAAGAACACGATGGTGCGAAAATGCGGCTCTGCAACGATTTTTGACGAAGATATTTACCAAAAACCAAACTTCCACCTTGGGGCACCTGACCTGACCTCAGAGGTCAGGTCTGATCTGAAACCTTACATAAGCTTGGGTACCAGTAACTGCGTCTCGTAACTGCGCACGCGCTGCTTTTTGCACAAGGCACTAACTCAATTGGAAGCGAAACGGTGAGGGGGCCATACCCCTCTCCACCCTCGACCGGCGCGCATATGTATAGAAAACCGATTGTTTCGGCGAGTGTTTGAGAAATTGCTTGAATATTTTTGTTTTCAAACAAAAACACGGTAGATAACTATGTTCTTAGTTTTGCGCTTCCCTAGCCAGGGGCGGCGGATTCGGGGGGGCAGGGGGGCAGCTGCCCCCCTGGCAAATTCGTGGGGGGGGGCAAAAGTATCTTTTTGCCCCCCCCCATAATTTGTGACAAAGCCAAGAAAAGAAACCATATACCTGATTATGCTGTTCGATCATCTGAAGATGTAACCAGATGCCCATATACTTTATCATACGTTGCCTTTCTTAAATGGCAAGCGTTCGCGTTCAATTGAAGTTTTCCTCTCTTCAACCTAGTTTTGGAGGCATTATAAGCGTCAGCGTGACGCAGCAGCAACCCAGGCCTTCAGTGACCGTTTACAGGGGCGACGGATACGGGGTGGCAGAGGAGGCATCGTCCCCTAAGAAACTTTTGGAGGAGGGCAAACGCATATTCTTGCCCCTCCATAATTTGTGCCTTAAACATGAGGAAAATTTCCATAACCTGATATTGCAGCTATGCGCTCCTACAGTTTGTCCCGGTGCCTTTTGAATATGTGTAAATGCTAACCATTTCCGCTTTATATCATTTTTTTTTTGTCTTTTCAGGTTCGATTTAGAGATATTTTAAGCGTGCAAGAGACGCAACTCATACCTTCAGTGGTCGTTTGCCGCTATTTTGTCCCTACATAAATGCCGAATCGCAAGCGAGCGGAGACTGAAGGGCTCTAGCCATTCGCTTGCGGGTAGTTAGGACTAATGAGCGCTCATAATAAGCCACTCCCCTGATTTTTTTCGAGCGCAAGTTTCCAGCGCATAAAATGGTAAACGCTGAGGTCGTACACATTGACCGCATTGACCAATGCACGGTATGGTATGACACCCAAAGGCCAGTCATCAGAGATCTGCTTTGGGCATTCGGAGGCTTGTGTGGGGCCAGTGTAAAAACTGGATGTTCACAGTTCAGTATCCGCTTTATTTCGATTTCACTATTAAAAAATTAAATATTAATGTTGGAAACTTTTGAGGGTTAGGGCACTGATCATTAGTGGGCCCCCCTCTGTCTAAAGGCTGGCTATAGAATAAAGAGCATCAAACACGAACAGTAGCGGCGGAACACCTTCAATTAAAGGGGGGGGGGGCACTGCCGACTTTTGGTCCCTTTCTTTCCTTGCAACGCCCATATCGCTAACGTTAAAATGCCAAAATCAAAGGGGGCACGGTGCCCCGGTGCCCTCCCCGTTCCGCCGCCTATGAATACGAAAGCAAAATCTAAGGCATTTGGGAAAAATGAGTATGCCCCGCAGCGTTCGATAACAACCACCTTCCAGTGGGTCAAGCCAACGGGGCCCAAGTCATATACCTAATGGCACTTAACGACAGCACTAACCTTGTCTCACTTTTCGTTGAAGTCTGTTCCGAATGGTTTCGGCCACAGACTGGCTGCACTGAGGTCATTTGGTATGTGCAACTGTAATTAAAGCCACCTAAGGCGCCCTGACCAGGCTGAAGCTGGGTTGGAAATGCTTCGTCTTTGCAGATACCACTGGCCGCTATTCTCGAGTGCCTGAACCGGTAGATGTCGTGGCAAGATTTGGTGTGATAAGTTGAACCTTTTACCGCAGTCAGCGCACCCTAAAGCCCTAAGAAAGAAACGCCCCACCCAGAGCTTCTGGATTCTCGTTCCAGGCCACCGTTCCTTCACCCCAGCTCGCCGCCGCGCTCCCTCACCTCAGCCCTCCGTTCCCAGCTTGACGAGCGTTTGGGCCTTATTAAGCCTTGCTGTAGGCTTCCTGTATAAACCCATCGAGACAGCCCGTCTCGGTGAGCTTAGTTGGCAAACTACTGCCATTGGGGAGGGTTTCTGGCGGATCACTGTCCCAATAGGTTTAGATGCGACCGACTGTGTCTGAATGTTTGAGCGGTCTCCTCCCGCTGTGAGCTAGTTTCAGTTGATATCTGTCTCAGAAATACTTTTTAAAGGAAGGTTAAACGGAAATAGAACGTAAAATGAACAGAGGAAATGGTAACGAGTTACCTCATTGAAGAATAGCGCTCGCCTACTTCAAAAGGGTTGGCACCGTTCTTCAACATCTGATATGCGATCGGGGTATGGCATAATTTTTCCCATTGGAGCTTTTTTCTAATACAGCAACAAGAAAAGCGTTTCATCGTCCACTGGCGGATCCAGGGAGCGGGCATTTAAAGCAAATATTTACTCCCCCTCCCCCTGGCCCCTGCATCGCCCGAAATAGACAAAACGTACCTTCCTTATGTTTCCTAATAATAACACTTTTATCAGGATTTTTTTTTTGTTTTATACTGTTCAGCAGTAGGTCCGTAAGGAATCGAAATCCGAGGAGTTTTTGGATTTTGGACACTTTTTTTGGGGGGGTATGTCCCATACAGCGTCGAAAACGCCTTTCTGGATCCGCCTATGACATCATCTCGACTGGGATCTTGCCCCCCCACGCCAAAATCGAATCCGCCGCCACTGTCCCTAGCCATACCTCATTGATGCAGGATGCTAGAGCCATTGTCATTGCCGAAAATGTTTGGGTATTTTACATAGGCAATGCAATACAATAGTGAACCGTATTCAATAGGCTTAGGTCACGAGCAACAAAAATCAAAAGTTGTATGACCCGAGTCGCTCAGCGTTCGCGACTCAGCCCATCGTTCTAAGATCGGTCGTGACGTCATCCAGCGTCGAGTCAACCCCTCCCAGGGGACTGCCCCGGGATCCCACTGTGTCAGCCAGCTGCCTCTCGAGCTCCTGCTGGCTGGTGGGCCGCCGCCGGCGCTGCTTCTCCCTGCTGCCTCTGTCCCTGTGCGTACACGCGTGAACGGGGAGCGGTCGCCGGCGGCGGGCCCACTCTGCCCGGCGTGTAATTAGAATTACCTTCAACGGCTGCCGGCGGGCAGACAGCGGGGAGTCGCCGGTCGGCGGGGGCGGGCCCGGCAGCGGGATGTTCGAACTCGGCCTCCGCGCCGTGTCGGTCCGGCCGCAATTATCCGGCGCCGGTAGCGCGCGCCGACCTGCCAAACGGCAGAGAAACGACCGGCCGCACGACTAATTTGCATTGCACAGGTGTTGATGCAGCAGTATGGCACACCTAGGGGGCCGGCACCGGTGGCAGCCGGCGTGAAATATGGCCCGTGCGGCCGCATCGCTCACCGCACGGGGGCCGTGTGTGGCCGCGGCAGGCCGCTGGCGTGACCGGCGGCAGTGGCCCGGACCGAGCGGGGCGCATCCCGGGGCCCCACCTGCAGCCCCCCCCCCGCCCCCGCCGCAGACGCCCCGCCGAACCACGCACCGCAGCTCGACACTGCGTAATTCATAAATCTTGTATACTGCGCCGATGTGACTAGGCAATTTGCTCTATGGTCAGCGTAATGACGGCCTTTGTTGGCGGCAATGATTGGCCGAGAGGGTAACGAATTGCACGGCGCCACCCGTTACTCAAATATTCAACGCCCGAGTTGAGTCACCGGCAATAGACAACTTTTGCAGAATTTAGAAAAAATGACGATATTGGGAAAGTTTGTGAATGGAGACGGGCTGAGGTGCGCTTTAGTGCTTTAGTTTGGCAGCGCGCATGGCTGGATTGAGTTGTAATACATTTTTATGTGTAAATGATACCATTCAACCCCATTAGCACGCATTAAATGATCCATAACGCCGACGAAGGCTCTACGTCGCCCCATGGTAGCGGCGTGATAGATAGTGAACCGCACTCATCCATCCCGGTTACGACATCTGAAAGGGCTGTTCCAGTCCTAACAGCACATGCTAGACCAATTAGCAACACGAAAATTACGGACCGCGCGCGGCGCTCTACAGTCCGGCCATGGTCCGCCCCCAGCCGCAGCGGGCCGCGGGTCTGACTGGACCCACGGTCCACCTCTGCCGCACAGTACGGACAGACAGGGCCACCACCGGCGGGCCGTGCGCGGTTCCGTGTCAGCGGCCGGGCGCATCCTTCCGGCTGGCCGGCACAGAGGCACACGCGCCGTCTGCAAATAGCACCCGCATTACCGGCCCTAAAATGGGCAAATTGTCGTTGGAGCGCGTTCGTCGTGCTCCTAATGGTGATGGATCAGGTCATATGAGTCAGCATCCGGTGTTTTACCCCGCTAAGCGGCGTGTCCAGCGCCCGGCCCATGGTAATTAAATTAGCGTGCAGGTGGCCGCGAGAGGTAGCGGCGGGCAGAGATGACCGGTGGGCTGACTGTGGGCCGCGTAGGACCAGATTCGGCGGCCGGTAAATACACGTCGGGTTAGGACACAGTGGTCGATTGGGAACTACCTGGTTGAACCAAACATATGGCGAGGGGGCTATCGCCCAGGTGTTGTTATTTTACAGAACATACGGACGTACACAACCCAGCGATTATTCAATTACTCATTATTCAAATTGCAGTTTGTATGCTGATAACGCGCGGTTCAAGGCTTGGTAAATTGCGTTCATCACACCTTGTTTCCGTTTAAAAATGACCATGATGATAACCTGCATATCACATTTGATACTGTTCTTCGTAAGAAAACTGGTGTGCTCCACAAACATCAATCATCTAATATTCTTTTAAGGCTCGTTGTATGTAAGGCATTTGATGATATCGTTTTTTTTTTTGTTTTACTTTAATGACCTCCTTACAATGATAATGAAACTTTCATCTCAATTCGTTTATTTTTATATGAATTTTCGGCCACGGGCCATGATCACATATACATATAGTCAAAAGCAAAGTCAAAAGCAAGTTTTGACTTTGCTTTTGACTATGTATATGTGATCATGGCCCGTGGCCGAAAATTCATATAAAAAATAAACGAATTGAGATGAAAGTTTCATTATCATTGTAAGGAGGTCATTAAAGTAAAACAAAAAAACGAAATCATCTAATATGGTAAATTATATTCGTGATTAATGTGCCGTGATGACTATTACATAAACAATGAGGCTACACAGAAATAAATTTTATCCCCATTTTCAGAACACTATTTGAAAAGTCTAACTTAACGGTGAAACAGCTCAAAATGATGTTACAAAGCATTAAAATCTAGAAATGTATACAATGTTGCAGGATTTATTGACTTCCATAATATGTACGACTACATAATAATATGTACATTCCATAATATGTACTATATGTACACGAGTACATATAGTTAGCCATGTAGAATATTGCAGTCCTTTCGATTGAGATTTTCGAATTTATGCCCGTATATAACAAAAAACAAGTTTTTGAGCGTATTCTCAGCCCTGGACTTGAGAATAACAGCCCTGAATCGCGATCATAAACGTGTTGCATTCAGCGAAATACATAAACTAAAAGGAAGAAGAAGAAATAAACGAAACAAAAATGCGGTAGCTGAAAAAAAAAATTGTCGGTGGCGTGTGCGAGTGCCCCGTGTAACCTTCTCTTTACCTGTGTGTGTGTGTGTTGCAGGGAAGCAGCTCAACGTGAGCATCACGCTGATTACCAAGCCGATGCAGGTGGTGATGATCGGCAGGGCGATCAAGGTCACCGTGGACGGACCCAGGGACCCGCGCAACAAGTCACGTGAGTTTAACAGGACACGGGTAGTTGACCCAGGGCGACGCGGAACAAAGTCACATGAGTTGAGCGGAACCCACGAAGCTTGCTCTTACCCTATCGGGTGTTCTCCCAAAATCAATGACATGATCTCGCAGTTTTAACCTTACTGATCTAAGTTGAGACTAGTTTGCTGTACTCTTGATGTCGTCCTCCCCCCCGGCCCCCCCCCCAACCTAACCTGACCCCTCTTCTGTTCCAGGTTGCGACTTCTACCCTGGCCTGGGCTTCCCGAACCCGTGGCTGGAACATCGTCTGGCAGGTCACCTGCCCCCGCTGGCTGCCGCCTGGTTACCTGGCTTCCCGGGCCACCCGGCGGCCGACCCACGCCTCAGCGAGGCTCTCCTGCACGGCCTGAACGGTGAGCTAGACGGTGGGCCGCGGGTTGGATGGGGAGAGTCAAGAATTTGTGTTTGGTGCGAGGTAGAAGAGTGGATGGTGTGAATGCGTCATGAGGGGAACATTTGTTTTGAGTCTGTATAAGGGGCTTTTCGAATAAGTATGAGGTTCGATCTAGTGTGTAAAGGGAGAGCTTGAGGGTTTCACTTTACGAGACTATAGGAGGAAAATGATAGCGTATTCAGTTCTGATTTCTTGTCGTCAGTGAGAATCTCTGTCACCATCTCAAACTGTCCGTCCCCAGCCTGACCCCTCCCACACTTACCAACACCCCGTTTCTGTTTCAGGTGGTCTGGCCCGCTCGCCGCTGACCTGCCTGTCCAGCCGGGCGCCGCTGCTGACCAGCGCCCCACTCCCTCCCCCCGCCGGGGGATACGGGGCGCCGGGGCCGCGGTCCGCCTTCCACGCCCGTGCGCGGCCGGCCGCCGAGCCGGGATGGTCGCCGCTGGCTCTGCTGGTGCCATGTCCGCCCAGCGGCTGCTGGCCAGCAGTGGGGGGCGCGGCGGGTCAGCAGGGGGGTCGGAGGGGGCCGACTCGCCCTGTGCCGCCAGCCCGCGGTCACCGCCGACGGCTGAGGTGACGGACGGGGACGGCAGCCCGACCAAACTCTGGAGGCCGCATGTGGACTGAAAGGGGAGGGGAGGGTCCAGGGAGGGAATAGATCTCATTGTGAGGCGTGTGTTGGAGTGATATTGTACTGCAGACGGTGTTATAATAAATGTGCTTATTTATAAATAGTTTTTTGTCATTAAAATAAAGCTTATCCGTATCACAATCTAGTACCGTCGGTGCGTAAATATTAAGTGCAATGCGACGCAATATCATTAAACTTATGGAAAGCGTAGTTCTGCTGACAATCGTACTCATATTTGGACTAATCTCACCTGAAGCCTGCCACACGCTGTCCTGCATTCAGTAATATGTTTCATTCCAGCGTCAGCCGGTGTAACATACAATCAGCCTAAGTTGCGGGGCTGGTTTAATAAAACGAATGCCACCGCTTTCTCGGTTGCCACCTTTCTCACAGCCTGCTTTTACATTCCACGTTCAGCCAACGACAGCCATGCAAATTACATCCCTTTTCAGCCACGCGGATTTTCCCGTCCAGTGAAACACAATACGAATGAATTAAAACTCTTGATTGGTATTTAGATTGGGAAGCCTGAAGCGCGCGTGCTGGGGGAAATTTGACGGGTTTCCAGGGCGAAAATGTCACCAAATATGCAGCCCTGGTGGAGACGATAGCGTGGATTAGACGGCGAATGGCCGCCAGTGGAGTGGCGAAGAGAAGCGAGGGAGGAGAAGAGGAAGGAAATAGACTGCGTGCAATATAAACACGAACCGAGATTAGAAGGGTGTGACATATATTATTTTCGGGACTACGAATTTGGATATCAGCGGCGTTCTTACATATTAGCCCACAGCTGACTATGCTGACCGCTCGTAGACATCATCCACTAGATTTGGGGCCTCTTGACAAATGATATCAGTCAAATGATAATCCTAGGCTAACGTTATAGCTTACCTTAGAGCTTTCAAAGCGTCGATTTACTAAGAAATGCATTTGAAAATTGAAAATTTATCATGAAACTTGACGAGCCGTATCTACCTACATAGTTCTTATGAGGCGCCTTTCATATGGTGAAAAATTTGAAATTGAAACATTTGATTTCACACAGTGTGTGCAGGAATACAGATTAATTTTGCAATTCACCTTTGCATTTTCTAGTTTCGTTTTAAAGGTTGCTACATGCTTCGCAGCTGACTAGTCAGGTGAGGTGTATTTATGTGGCGATACCATTCTCGTGAAATCATACGGGTTATATTTAAAAAATCGTCGTGTTCTGTGCGTCGGATGTGCATACTCTTCACATCTAAACTGCACCTGGAAAATACTGCGTCAAAACAGCAAAATAGAACAAAGAACACCATGTCCCATTATGTGTTTTGGGCCTCGACTGTTGATGAAACACTTTTTGGGGAGATCCTTTAAGCCTAAAAGCACGCATGCTCCCCGGCCCGGTTGGGGAGCCAGGCCGCGGCGGCACCACTTGAAAGGCAGCGCGGCGAGCGTCTGGCCACGCTCCCCACCGCCGGGGGCGTCCCTCTCCCCGCGCACGCCCCTAATCTTTTATCTGCGCTCCCCCTTATAATTTATCCCGCATCGATTCGTTTTATCTAAAATCCATCCACGCGACTCTTTGTCATTGGCGACCTTTTATTCCCGTTCTTTATCCCCGAATCCCCTCGTCTGACCAGGCTGCATAATCGGCCGGCCAGAGAGCAAACCCCGCGCCCCGCCAGATTTCACCCCTGATTTGGCCGCTCCCGGCGCGCCCCTGTGTAATTTCGACGCGCCGCGCCGGCCGCCCCATCGGGCCACCTCGCCGATGAAGAAATCAGACGACATTACCGTGCCAGCTGACAGGCAGAACGGATGCCGGGTGGGGAGCCGCCGCCGCCACCGCTGCCGCCGCCGCGCGCCCGCTGTCGTCCCGCGGTACCCTGCTCGGCACAGCGGCGGCAGAGGGGAGCCGATCCGACTTATTGTTATGATGAAGAACAAATAATTCCCCAGTTGATGAATTATGCGAAAAGGGGTGGGATTAGAGCGGCTCAGCGGCGCCTGCGACCCTCTGATCCGCTGAGAGTGGGCCAGCCGCCGGCGTGACGCAGACTCGTCGCTCTGCCGTCCTGCTGCACGCCACAACAATGCAGCACTTGGGACAAACTTGGCGCAAATTACGGTGGCTCTGGTGGTATTCACTGGCTTGGCGCGGACGGCTGTTGTTCGACAGTCCTCGGGCTAATTGGTAGCAGGTTCAATTAACGCGAATCAATACCCCAGCTGGCTGATTACATTTGGGTATGGGTACAACAAAATGGAGCCCGGCGGCGTGAGAGCAAGCAGACAAGGGAGATTCAGATTGAAACATCGGTTTCTCCAGAGTCTGTAGTTAATTGTGAGCTTTAACAAGTAAAACTACGGAAACTGACCGTGCTGTATTTTTATATTGATCGCAGAAATTGTATCGTTTGCGTGTAACTTCTAGTAATGTAATATCTAATGCGTTTCTAACCAGACGAAATTACATATAATCAATGATTTCTCGCGCAAAACTCGAGAAGGCAGCATCGAGCGTCTCAATTAGTAAAGCTAATCTTGTGCATGTGTATTTCATAATTCAAACATGTGCATTAATTGATAAATTCAGATCTTCTTTGTAATCAGCTCAACTGTCCACAACTCTCATTCAATTCATTAATCATTATCTGCATTTCTGTTACCTTGGGTAGTCGTAAAAATAACCCCATGAAAATGTCGGACAACTTTCTTTTCTCATCTTAACCCGCGCGGGGCTGGGGGGTAAATTTTACCCCCCCCCCCCCTCGCGAATTTTTGCGATATCTCAAAAACGGCGGCGCGCAGCGCCGCCAAACTTTCAGTACCTTTTCTTACATCAATTTGACACGTTCCCTGAAAATTTGAGCGAAATCCGTCGGAAATTTGTTGAGATATTGACGTTTTAGTGACGTCATGTTCGCCATTTTCGCCTCAAAAACGGCAAAAGTTCAAACGCCGCTAACATCTTCATTTTTAAAGGAATCAAGACGTAACAAAAAAGGTTATACGTAATTTTACTTTGTCTATCAAATGGCTATCTCGTTTTTTTTGAAAATTTTGGATTTTGGCCTAAATTTTTTCAAAAAACTGACTTTTTTGGGAAAATCATTATAAAATCCAAAATTTTGAGTCTATCGAAAAAACCGGAAAAAATGTCAGAGAAGTGGTCTATGTGCACCTACATACCAAATTTTAGAAGAATCGGTTCAAAAATGTGGGAGTTATTCAAAATTTTATGACGTCACGACACACAAATTTTTTGAAAAATGACTTTTTTGGAAGTTCTAGACCTCGTACGAAAACAAAAATAGCACCATTCGATTCGCCGTGAAAAACTGCATCAGATAGACGCCTTTTTAGGCCTTAACAACCAGCTTCAAAATTTGACCTCACTTGACCTGACCTTGACCTGACCTCGACCTGAAAATCATCCAGAGGTGGTCCATATCACTTATTGAGTGTGCCTATTGAATTCTATGAGTAAAATGACCCATAAAACATGTGTCGCACATGCCCTTTTCTATATTTTGTTTTTTGGTGACCTGACCTGACCTGACCTGACCTTGACCTTGACCTCTGAATGATATTGTATGCAACGAATATTGTCTTGGTAGCCTAAGAACACGTTTTGGGCGATCAGTCTCAGTCCATGACTCCATTCTTCGGCAACTACGGTGCAAGGCCGATACTGTAGAAACTTGCAATTTGTACCCTTGACCTGACCTTGACCTTGACCTCAAACTTTAAATTAAGTACATGTTTTTAGTAGTTCGTGATGAGAGCTTTCGATTGGCGTTTGAATTTTCCAAATCGGACCATTAGTTCGGGAGATAACAGGGGGGTAAAATTTACCCCCCCCAGCCCCGCGCGTTCGGCTGGAGACCCCAGCCCCGCGCGGGTTAATAGATCATGAAAGGAACACATGAAGATTGACCGAGCGCGTAATCGTAAAATGGACAAAAATGTCACGGTGTTATCTTGGTATCTGTTTGACTTTGAAGCAATAACATAACCAGGAACCGAAAAACTGCCATCAATTTTCGTCGCCTTCCTCGTGTTCCGGCTGTAATCCTCCCGGCTCAACAGCTCTATCTCGCCGGCCGCAGCTCGCGGGTGCTGCGAGCCTGGGAGAGTATCGGCGCGTCAGTTTCCGGGCCGAGGACTGCTGGCCAAGTTGAGACCAAGTTGTGCCACTGGCAGCTCTCAAACTTTGCATCAAAGCGACCTGACGTTGAAGCCAGTCCATTTGGTATTTTGAAATTGATCCCGGTAAGCCGCTCAGCCGCTGGCAGCGGCAGTTTCTGCGGGCCTCGCCGGCTTGAGACCGGTCAGAACTGTCCGCTGTGTCGGGTGGTCACATCTAAAAATGGCTGATGTAACAGCAGTACAGCTGCTTGACTTACTGATTTACCATATATGTACTATATCTTAGATATTCGTTCGAACTGGGGAAACTTATGTTTGCAGTAACTCTTTGTCAAGTTTACGTAAATTTTTCGTTCTCTAGAAGTATATGAAACGCTCACCTTCATATTCTTTCATTCGGTCGTGCATATTGTTGACACAAATTATCACTCTCGAAGCAATGCTGTAGACAAAACTCTGAGAATACCCTCCAGTCCTAGCTCTGCACCGACACTTGCCGTTCTGATGTCCCAGAAGGGCTAGCGTGAGACTGGTGCCTGTGCTCTCTCTCTCTCTCTCTCTCTCTCTCTCTCTCTCTCTCTCTCCCTGTGCTCTCCAGACTCACAAACAACCAGCACTTGCACACACTAGTCACTACACTCATACTTGTGCAAAGAAAAAAGTCACATGCAGACAACTCATGTCTCTTTTTTACTAGCTTAACCGAATATGGCGTCAGCAATAGGTATTGATGGAAAATTCTAACAGGTCCATTAGCGTCGCCACGGGGGGGCAAGCGGGGCAGCTTGCCCCCCAACCTCGGACCGGGCACCCCCTGAGATCGATACAGATCCGATGAGATTTTGGAGTCGGGAAAAAATGGGGGTACCTTTCTGAGAATGCCTGTGAGGTCAGACTCGGTTGGAGCGTGCAGTTCAAACCAGAGTCTGACTCGCAGTCGCCAAAATCTTCAAGACTCCGAGTCCAGACTCGGAAATGTCAATGCTGCGATCCATTCCATGTTCCTAGTTCGTTCTTTATTACATTTTACAGCTGATTTTCATAAGTTTTGGAGTGCTGACACAATTTTCGTTCAAAGCGTGAAACGAAATCTTAGGGGCATTTCTCAACTCTCGTCAAATGTCTGCGACAGGCTCAAGTACCGTACAAGTGTCGCAGGGCTCATGAGCTTGCTTTAAACAAAGGCTCCTAAGGAGCTCCACTGAGCCCTAAAGAAGCTTTCAGAGGGCCCAAACCGGCCTCTGAAAGTTCCACTGGTGTCCATGTTCTCTGAGGGCCCATACAGGGATCTTCGAGCCTTCGAAGTTCGAACATTTCTGAGAACCTTAAATGGCCTCTGATAGTTCAGTCAAACTTTGGAGGCGACAGACCTTGCTAACCCCAAGCCGGCATCTGAGGGGTCACAGCTCACGTGTCCCTCTGAGGTCCGCAACACCATGTTTATTATGTCCCTACGTAGGGTCCTTAGGGATTCGACACAGACCCCGAGGGTTCACACTGTTATCCGAGGGCTCCAGGCTCACCCTGGGCCTAGTCTCTTAGCGCCCGCCGCCCACACTGGCTTCTGAGGGCCCCACCTTGGGCTCGGAAAGCCCTAAAGCACCACGTACACGTAAATATTTGAGGTGACCCACGCCGATCTCCGGGACCCTAAGCATGCTTCTGAGAGTCAGCACTGACCCTTAGTGGCCTGAAATGGCCTGGAAGTCCCAAACCTATCTCTGATGGATCCCTTGCCGCTATGCCGTGCGTAACTTTTGGTTCCGTTTAACAGTTTTTGTGCACGTTTGCAGCGCTTCCCTTCACACGAAAAACGAGAAACTTTCGTTCACACTCGAGTGAACAAAACACTTCCTCTTACTAGAGCAAAGATGAATTAGGTACTTCCGATTCACACTTCAGACATTCACTCTCCGCCGAATGCCCAACTTAGCTACGATCGGCGGCTGGGATAAGTCCTATGCATTTCACGTAAAACCTCTGCATGCATGCGTGAATGGATGTTTTAGCAGGGTGATCCGATTAAATGGAGCGTTTTTCACCTTTTTCTGGGTAATGATCATTAGAGTCGAGCGTCTGCACAGGGGCCCTCTGCAGTGCGTCGGCAATCGCAGCCACTATATACTAGTTATAATTCTACCAGTCGTTTTTGTCATGGAATTTCAAAATTTCGAATTTTTCTGTAAAAATTACTTGTCATAGCTAGAAGGAAACCTTTGTCACCATCGGATTCCTCGCACCATTGCGCGTCGAATGATATGTAAAACGAGTGAGTAAAGACTGGGGAAAGGCAAGTTTTAACACAAAAGTTGATTTTGCCCCCCCAACCGAAAATCTCTGGCGACGCCTATGAACAGGTCACTCGTAAATGTGGCTATGCGGATTACGGAGGCATGCTTTCAAACATAGCTTTAATTTTTCAACCGATGAACCAATAGTTATTAGCTCCTTTGTACGGTAAATATATTCCTTTGCTTTCCCTTGCATTCCCTTGTGTCTCAGTTCCCTCTGAGGCGGCGGGCACCCCGCGGTGCCGTCGGATCGTTCACATCTATGTCCGGAAGCTGCGCCACTGATGGCCGCCGGTCTAATGGCCGTGGGTCGACCGACCGACCGACGACCCGTCGGCCATTGGCGACCACCGGACGGTGCCCGCGGCCATCTCTGGCCTCACGGCCGGCTGTGGAGGCTGGGGCGGTATATCTGGCCATCTGGCCGTCCTCCGACCAGCCACACTGGCCGTTTTCACGACGGAATAGCAGGCATCTATTTGATACCAATATAATCCTTTGGTTCCTCAGGAATTTTAGTAGTTCTTTTTAGTAGGTTTACCAGCTTTCGAATGAATGGCGCGTTAGTTTGCTATTTTTCTATTAAATATCACATCGATTTACTTTATCTAAGGATTTATCACTAACATCAACATAAAGCGTAAGCACAATTATAAAATTATGAAATTATTAAATACTAGTACAATAGTTAAAAAAAGATACTGAGTTGCCACACTACAAAAGATATATTCATTTATGGCGCACGACAGACATTTAGAAAGCAGCGCCCTGTTTTATTGCACGCTGCTAGCCGCTTCCATTGGGTTTTGCAGGCCGACGTCATTGGTTGTTACACGTATGATGTCACGCGACTTGTGGCCTATCACGGCTCTTTAATGATCTCCACTAAATGAATGCAACAATGGCCTTTTAAGTTGATATCTGTGGCCATCTGTCTATGGAGCGACCAATATGAAAGTTAGATGAATTTACCGGGGTTTCATGACTATTAGCAAGCAAATGTGTATCAGGAATGGATTCAGGTGGAGAATTGCGCTGGACCATGAGTGCTCGAGCGCTCCCAATTCCACGCCGGTTTGGCTTTGGAGCCGAGACAGACGATGCGGGTCAAGGTCACCGCTGGGGTAACGCTGGATTGGCTGCGCCCGAGCACCCGTAACGCGGCACAATTCTCCATCTATAGATTTTCCTATTCGCTCAGCATTGTGATACCTAGGTGTTCGTAATAGCAATTACTCTGCTTATGTACTTATCCCCGGTTATTTAAAAGAAGTTTTTGTGAGGGGATATCACGGCTATAGGTAGGTTCTCAGTTGCCCTATTCACGACTTTCAAAGAATGCTCCGATATCTAAATACCGCACAGACCTACTGCATTGGTGAATCTGACAAAAGGTCTGTGGAATTACATTCCCCCTCACCACACCCCTAAAAACTCATCCAGTGTCCAAAACCACTTTTATCGACTCGCCAAAAAAAAAAAAAAAACACACACACACACACACACAAAGCATGGGGCATGTCAGCTCTCAGTTCATTTATCATTGTCTTTACCATGGTTCAATTGCATTGCGCGATTCAAAGCACGTGAGTGCCTATATAGTATATATGTAGAAAATAATACCTACAGCAAAACATCAAAAATTACAAAGGCTACAATGCTTAAAAAGTAGGTTCATCAAGGAAGCCCATTTTAGCTTGCGTGGTGTTGCCAACCATGCGATTCCAACGCGGGCTATTCACAACGTCTGCAAAGGCACGTTAACAACTAACAAGCCGCCACCGCTGCCACTTATTCATAGATGGTTGATATCGCAGCTTGAGCGTCAGCAGCGCGGCCCACAACGCGTCGGCGCCAGCGCACGCAGCTGTTGGCACTCGGCAGCCGGTGTTGCGACTTAACGGCCGGCCGGCCCCATGAAGGAGAAGCTCTTGCTGAAGCTTTGTGATCGCCTCATAGCCGCCTTGGATGTCATCTTTCTTGGCAGATCCATCCGTTCAGATGGTACGGTGCAGTCTGGATAAAGGACGAAGTCCAACGCCGCTAACCCCGCGACCGCCACCCCAGAACGTGGCCGCAGACCGAACGGGCGTGAGGGCCGTAAGGGCCACCCCGCCATCCGGTAGGTGGCTGAGCTGCGGTGCGCGGCGCCGGCTACATCATCGCTGGTGGACGCATCGCGGCCGACGGAGGTGGGGCGAAGGGAGCGGCCTCGGCCCCTGCCTGCCGCCCGAACGCCTCCCTCGGGGGCGCAAGCCCCGCCCACGCGCCTCACCTTCTCGTGGTGGGGGTGTTTGCACCAAGAGGCGCACCTGCCGGAGTCAACCGACGACTTCAGCTGCGACCGAGTCGCACACCGTCAGCGCGGCCCCCGAGTGGGGGGCTGCGCCTAAATGAATAGCCGACGGGAGCTGCGGTCCGCGTCCCGACCACTGGGCGCGGACCGCGCCGGCGGCGATGCGAGGGGAGGCGCTGCCGCCGGCCACAGGAAGGAGAAGGAGGACGAGACGCTACCGACAAAACCAGAGACGGACACCAAACAACCCACCAGAAGAGTCACCAGAGCCATGACAAGACAAGAAGGAACGGCCGATGCCCGAGCAACTGCAACCACTGAAAGTGCAACTCTGCGTAAGGCAATGGCGCAGCTTATTGAGGCAGGAAAGCAGTGTCCCACGGAGGACTTCCAGTTGTGCACAACCGTAGAGGCGGAGACGCTACGTGAAACGATGAAGCGACTCATCCAACGGGGCAAACAGTGCACGGAGGAGGAATTCCGACTCGACAGTGGACTGCTCGAGACGTCAACAGACAAGACGGAACCTGAACCACAAGACATGCCAGCCTCCGGTCCACCGAGACGTAACTCACCTCGCAACACCCGAAGACAAGACACTCGGAGCCCTGCAGAGGACACACGCGAGGATCGGCCGAGGGATGGGGTCGTGGAGCAAGCCCAGCCGGAGAGGCCCCGTCCCTTCGCCGCCCTTGTGAGTGCAGCCAGAGCGCTCCCACAAGAGGACTACCGGCCACCAGAGCATCTGACACGAACAACACGAAGTACAAAACTAACTCACAAGGCAGAACTACACATAATTCAGTTGAACGCTAACGGCATCGGTGCAACAGAGAAGAGGGCAGAGATCCTACGATACGCCGAGGAACAAAAGGTAGATGTCCTCTGCCTCCAAGAAACCAACCTCCGACAGGGACAGGAGACCCCGAAGTTCGAGGGATGGGAGGTGGCGGCGCGGGCTGACAGAAGACAGCATCGAGGAACGCACGCCGGAGAATCCCATGGATACGGAGGTGTCCTGACCCTGGTCCGTAGAGGATGCGGCTTCGGCTTCGAACCGATAGCGTACGACGTACGAGACAGAAACTCCGACGCAGTCATGATAGATATCCAATCAACGACACGAACTGTAAGGCTGCTAAACGCGTACATAGCCACAGTAAAACCAAGTAACGAAGACACGAGAAGGGACGAGTTCAACCCGGACAGCCTCCCGCAGGGAAGAAACGTTATCATCGCAGCGGACATGAACGCACACCATGAACTCTGGGACTCCAACCGTGCGAGAGACCCCAGAGGGGGCAGGATCGCCGAGTGGATGGACCAACATGACATGTGTGTGCTCAACTCCGGAGCTCCGACGAGACATGATGCGAGCGGTAGAGGCACCACACCAGACGTCACAATCTGCCATGCCGCCCTGAGCGGCGGGATCGAGTGGTGTATCGGGGAAGACCTGGCGTCGGACCACCGCCCGCTACACATCAAGGTGGAAATGCAAGTCAAGACGCCGCCCCCAGCAAAGAGGAGAGCGAGACTGTGCCTGCGGAAAGCAAACTGGACACTGTACCGAACACTGACCGACCACAAATTCAAGCACAAGCTACGCCGCATGACATCGACCGAGGCAGCGACAAGAAAACTCACTAGAATCATGGTCCAAGCGGCAGAGAAAGCCATCCCTCGCGTGCCACCCCGGAGAAACGCGAAAGCATGGTGGTGTGAAGAAGCCGAAGAAGCCGTGCAGCAAAGAAGGGAAGCCCGAGACGCCCTGAGGAGAGACCCTGGAAACGAAGATCTGATGGCACAATGCACTGAGAAAACCGCACAAGCGAAACAAGTTGTAAAACGTGCAAAGCTGAACGCATGGGCCCGCGAATGCGAGAAGATGGACGCGGCGACAGACAACTCGCACCTCTACTCCACAATCAAGGCGATGGATGGACGCGGGAAGAAGCAGGGATCGACAGCTATCCTGAAAGTGCACAGAAGATCTGCAAAAACAGCGAAGGAAAAAGCAGATGTCATGGCTAAACACTATGCCCAAGTCAGCCAATCACAATACTCAGCCTCAAACCAGGAACTCAGAGACCACCAGAAGGCCAGACGACAGGCGGTGAACAAGGCGGTAGCCCAACCATGCAAGCAACACCCAAACTGCCGGGGCAAAGTCTGCCGTCCCTACAGCCTGACGGAGCTGGAAGTGGCCCTGTCTCACATGAAAACAGGTGCCCCCGGCCCGGACGGAGTGATGCCACAGATGCTGAAGGAACTCAGCACGGCGGGCAGGAAGACGCTCCTCAGAGTGCTGAACAAGAGTCTCGCATCGGGAGAGGTGCCCACCGCCTGGCGCAGAGCCAAGATCATACCGATTCACAAGAACGGGAAACCCCCGGAACAGCCGTCGTCGTACCGCCCCATCAGCCTCACCAGCTGCATCTGTAAACTGGCCGAACGCCTCCTCCAGGGCCGACTGGCGTACCTGCTCGAAGCGAATGGCACCCTCGTCCCAGAACAGGCGGGCTTCAGATCCGGCCGGTGCACAGAGGAGCAGATCGCCCGACTCGGCCAAGATATTATGGATGCCATGGAAGCGAAGCCCACCAAGAGAACAGTCCTGGTGGCTGTAGACATGACTGCCGCGTACGACCGTGTCAACAAAACCAGTCTGCTCTACAAGATGACGGACATGGATGTTCCACCATGTATGATGAGGTGGATCAGGAACTTCCTGGCAGATCGAAGAGCCAGAGTGGCATGGGACGAGACGGCATCCGCAGAGGTGAAGATGCGGGAGGGCCTGCCGCAGGGAGGAGTGATCTCACCGCTCCTGTGGCTCTGCTACATCAACGACCTGGCACCAGTGCTGCGGCGGCACGACGTGCAGATCGGCATGTACGCAGACGACCTGATCATCTACGCCAGTGACAGCAGCGTCCCCACAGCCCAGGCCAAGGTGCAGGCGGCAATGGACGAAGTAGAGGAATGG